AAAAACTGCGTACTTGCTAAAGCGGTCAACTATGACCATGACTTGGCTCTTGCCATGCCTGCTCTTGACTTGAGTGTCCATGAAATCTATTGACACAGAGTCTCCCGGTTGATCCGGAATGGGCAAGGGTCTGAGAAGACCTAACGGGGCACGCGTAGAAGACTTGTTTCGCTGGCAGACCTTACAACTKCGAACATACTCTACGCAGTCATTCTTCATCCCTGGCCAGGTATACGCGCGCATCAGATTGGCTAAGGTCTTTTGCCAACCAAAATGACCGTCCGTGTCATGGCATTCTCCCAGGATCAGACTGCGGATCTCTTCGCTATTGGGGATGCACAATCGGTCAAAAACATTAGTCTTCTCAAAAAGCAACCCTTCAGTAGTGCGGTAGTTCGGCTCGGTTTCTGGGGCCTCCTTGACTTTCTTAAGGAGCTCACCATAGATAGGGTCTTGCACGTAGGCTTCTCTAACCTGCTGCTGCAGATCCTTTCCTATATCGAGGTAATGTACTATTGCCCGAAAGTAATCTGCTCTCCTACTCAGAGCATCCGCGACTACATTGTACTTCCCTTTAACAGGCTTGAGCTCGAAGTCGTACTGATCTATCTCTGCGGCCCACCTAGTAAGCTTAGGTGTCATCTTGGCCTGCGTCTTTAACCATCGTAATGTTTCATGTGCTTCCAGTGGTCTAATGCTTGCCTGAGAGCGTAGAGTTCCCTCTCATAGGTAGATGTCGCAACCTTCTCTGAAGGCATCCTAGCGGACATGAACTCTACGGGTCTATAGCCATTGCCATCGTCTTGCTGTAACACTGCGCCTATGCCGTAATGGCTAGCATCCGTAGTAACGACAAAAGGCAAGGACGGATCGGCGACCTTAAGGACCGGGTATTCTATTAACGCCTGCTTTAGCTTCTTCATGGCAGACGTGCAGTCCTTGTCCCAGTTCCAGATTGTCTCTTTTCTTAGCAATCTGCGAAGGGGCGCAGCGATGGTGGAGAAGTTCCTCACGAACTTCCTGTAGTAATTTGCTAAGCCCAGGAACGAGCGCAACTCCGTTAGCGTACGTAGCGTGGGCCAATCTCTAATCGCTGCGATCTTGCTATCTTCTGGCTTAACGCCGTCTCCGTCTAAGACGTGGCCTAGATACAAAACTTGGGTCTTCGCCCAATCGCACTTCTTCGCCTTGATCTTGAAGTTAATTTCTCTCAGCTTCTCCAAGACCTGCCTGAGATGACCCTGATGCTCGTCGAGGGTCTTACTAAACACTAGAATGTCATCTAGGTACACAACAACAAATCTATCTAACCATGGCCTAAACAAATCGTTCATACAACGCTGGAACGTAGCTGGCGCATTGGTTAGTCCAAARGGCATCACTATAAACTCATAGTGCCCGTACCTAGTCCGGAAGGCTGTCTTATACTGATCATCAGGATGTACCTCTATCTGATGGTATCCGGACTTTAAGTCTATCTTAGAGAAGTACTTGGCCCCTTGCACTCGATCTAAGAGGTCGTCTATCCAAGGCAGTGGCTCAGCATTCTTTACTGTAATAGCATTCAGACCCCTATAGTCTATACACATCCTCAGCTCTCCCTCTTTCTTAGGGACAAAGAGAACAGGGGCTCCAAAAGGAGACGAACTGGGCCTAATCCAACC